CGCAAGGGAAATGACAATTGAAACCCACTGGGTTAACGAAATTCGGTTAAATGAAAATTTTATTAGCTCAATCATGATGCAATAATAAGGTGATGTATCAAAACAAAAACCTTTGTTTCTGTCTCGATTCTTTGTCAAATTTTTCCATATAATATTTAAAATTGTTGGCAACACTGCACATCGAATTCAAGTAGAAATTACCCACTTTGACAGTTAATCAAGACATCAGCTGCGCTAAATGGACAACCTATTCATTGTGCCATGAGCTCAATGAAGAAGCTGTTTAAAATAGTATTAAAAATAGTATTGACATTCCAAATACAACCCTGCTTTTCTACCCAAAACAAGCATTACTTCAAAATACTTTAAAATTCCAAAAAGTAGCCTTACAAAAATGTGGCAGCAGTTGAAAATTAAAAATTATTAAAATAATTATGAATATTGCTACAATTTAAAACAGCATATGTCTTTAAGAAATATTTACCAGTGAAATGTGAATGTAGACGTAAACATATAACACCTGGCTGTCAATTTTAAATCATTTTAATACTAGTGTAAACAGCTAGGATTATGCACCTTGATGTTAAAATTAAGTCGATTTAGAAAGTATAGTCGCGCCATTATCTCGATTTGCTCTAAATCCAATTCTAAATCGTGATAATTTCAAATACAACACTGCTTTTCCACGAATTTTCAAAATGGTTGCCTCAGAGTACATTTAGATTTACGACATCCACGTCAAATATAATCCATTGGACATAATCTTAATCATGATCTAAATGCCGATTAGCTGATGTTTGTTAGTTAGTTTGAAAAGAGGGGTGGTGAAGACCACCGCATGTCCATTATGGGACATACACTTAAGCCATAGGAGGCCTGTTGTGCGCTCTAGGAAGGAAAGGTATTTAGATTGGCATTATTCTTAGATTTTTTGTTTGGTCTCCCTATTCTTCTAGGAATTCTGTGTTTTTACAGAAGTCCTTTAGTATTTTCCATTCACACCCCCTTAGGTCATTAAATTCAGGAATAGTGTCGTTTTCAAGAATTGGGTTCGGATGCATGCAAAAGCCGGGCAGTGGCATAGTAAATGTTCCAACGTTTCGTTGTCTTCCCCACACGCTCTTCACCTGCTGCTTTCCGAACACCCAATCTTGTGTAAATGTGACTGAGTGCAGGTTAAGATGTCCTGTGAGAATGACTATCAGTCTGCTTAGTTCTTTCTTGTTTAGCGTAAGTATTTGCTTAGTCTTATCCTCATTTGGGTCTCCCCATAAGATTTTTGTGTTTTTTTTCCAATCCTCTCGTTATTCCAGAGTGTTTCGCCCATGACCTCATTTCTAGACGTGAAGCACTAAAAGGTTTTGCACTGTTCACATCTATGTTGGTTAGGTCAGTAGCACTTCTGGCGAGTTGGTTGGCTATCTCGTTTCCTATGACTCCTGAGTGACCCGGTACCCATATTATACGTACAAGACCGTGTCGTGAGAAGTTGTTTATTGTTCCAATACGGTTTTGATGCAACTGTTTTGGATGTTATTGCATTAATAGCATGTTTACTATCTGTCATGATATTTATGTTATTATGCCCAGAGTTAGAGCTTATAGTACGTTTACATTTATCCGGATTTCGTTAACCCAATTGTCAATTCCTTTGCATATATGTCAAATAAATCCTCATAAAGTAGGTTAACCCGGTGAAAAAGTTCTAGTGTACATGCCGTTTTAGCCATCTTAGACACTCCGTTATAGCTTGAACCTCCGCCTGTAGGATCGTGTTGTGATCTGGCAGGCGAAGTGAGATTTCAGTCCCCGGTTCTTCAATAAAAAGTCCCAGTCCCGTCTTTCCCGCTAGCCGGGAAAGCATATGTGCTAGTGTTCCGCTGTTCCATGAGTCTCTGTCCGGTATCAGAATTTCACACAATGTGATTACTCTTGTTTCAGGTATTCGATTTGACTCAAAGTGGTTAATTGAGTGTCCGATCGTAGCATGTAGTATATTTTCGTGCGGTGTGTAGTGTCCGTTGTCGATCCACTCGTTCATGGCTTTCAACTGGGTGTATATACAATATAGTTTCCAGTGCCCTAGTTGATGTTGTCCGCATATGCCTAGACAACAAGTTCTTTGGACTTTCTGTAGTGTTATTACATTAAATTTTTTGTCTATTGCTGTCCACCAGACTACAGACGCGTAAGTTAGAATTGGCCTAATAACGCTCTTGTAGATCCAGTGTACCATCATTGGGTTGAAACCCCATTTAGATCCCACGGCTCTTCTACAGAAAGACCATGATACATGATACATACAAAATTATTAATTTGCGCCAAAAATATTTGTTTGCAATTTGATAATACACTGTTGCATCTCATTAGTTCATGATTTAGAATAAACCCTGCCGTACGATGATTTAAATTTGTATGATAAATCATGGTAAATTCAGCCAGATTAAGAAAATAAACCTTGATTCAGCCTTTAATCATGATTATAGTACGTTTACATTTAACCGGATTTCGTTAACCCAGTGGGTTTCAATTGTCAATTCCTTTGCATATATGTCAAATAAATCCTCATAAAATAGGTTAACCCGGTAAAAATCTCGAATGTATATGCCGTTTTAGATGTTATATGTAAATTCGCTTTAAGGTAACGTATACGCTATGGAATTGACATTTGAAATCGTCATGGCGATATTTTGTAAATGGAAAATTTGTTTGCATTTATATAAATATTAATATAATTTAAAAATATACATGTTTTTATGAATTTTTCGCCTAACAAAGTCCAACTTCTATTTAAAAATTATGAAAATTTTAATTGAAAAATTGTCACAGAAATTATGATATGTGTAAATATACGCATAGTACAATAATACATGGTAGGATAACTTGAGGTGAATAACAAAAAAAAAGCAACTCTGTAGATAGTGACTTTTTCTGTCAATATAATAAAAGCATACACAACAAATTGAATTGATATTTTTCAACACATAACTAAAAACTCGAAAAATTAATGAAAGGTTATGATTTCTTCCCAAAGCCGAGTAGGAGATATACCATGATGCAATAATAAGGTGATGTATCAAAACAAAAACCTTTGTTTTTGTCTCGATTATCTGTCAAATTTTTTCATATAATATTTCAAATGTTTGGCAACACTGCACATCGAATTCAAGTTGAAATTACGCACTTTGACAGTTAATCAAGACATCAGCTGCGCTAAATGGACTACCTATTCATTGTGCCATGGAATATATCATATAATGTTTGTTTCATGCATAATAGCATGTTTACATTGTACCGTACATTTAATAAATCCAGTATATCTAAATTGTCATTTCCATTACATATATGTATGTCAAATAAATCCTCATAGATCAGGTTAACCCTACTAAAAGGTCTAATGTAAATGTTTTTTTATGGTAATAGTAATTTTTCTATGGTTTACCTGAGTTTCCTATGGGGACATTTTAATTCAGCATAGCTGAATTGAGTATTCTTTAGCTCAATTGTAATTTTGTTTAGAAGAATTGAAATTTCTTTACGAAGTTAAATAGAGTTTCCAATTCAAATTTTCATTTAAATTTAATTTCAATATTTTCGATTTTATTTTAATATATTTCATATGATATTTAAAATAATACCACCTGGAGAACAAATTGTAAAGAGACGGTAGCTATGCTCTAACGTGTAATAATTATACCATGTGTAAATGAACTATTACCTGGACATCCATCTTCAGAACCATGACACCATGATGCAATAATAAGGTGATGTATGAAGACAAAAACATTTGTTGTTGTCTCGACCATCTGTCAAATTTTTCCATATAATATTTCACATGGTTGGCAACACTGCACATCGAATTCAAGTAGAAATTACCCACTTTGATTGTACCATGCATGACACATTTAATAGGTAGTCCATTTAGCGCAGCTGATATCTCGATTAACTTGAATTCGATGTGCATGTGAAATTTTATAATAGAAAATTTTGACAAATGGTCGAGACAAAAACAAAAGTTTTTGTTTTGATAGAGTAGTGCATTTACATTGTACTGGATTTCTGTAAACCAGTGGGTTTAAATTGTCAATTCCATTGCATATATATCAAATAAATCATCTTTCAATAAAATACTTTAAATAAATAAAATATTTTTAAAATTTTAAATAAAATATTAAACATTGTGATTTCAGAATTAAAAAAAGAATTTAATTTTTATCTAGATATGTATGTTGTTATATTTTTAGAGCTAGTCTTAAACAATTAATTATAAAATATTAAAAATAACTTATAAATAAACTAATAATAATAATTATTTCCCATAAATATTTTATTAATGCCATTTCAAAAATAAGTTTTAATAAAATATGGTTTAAAAAATAAGAGGACTTCAGTATTGGCATGTTGGCTTCTTTTATTGTAAAAATATAAAGGAGAACGGCGTTCAATTTCAAGTTTGACTCTAATACTCCTTTAAAAATTGACATTTCATACAAACCCAACTTAACCCTTTCAGTGTTTTTGTCGAATATATTCGACATTTAAAATTATTCTCTTCCTTAGCAAATTTTCGGTTATCCTATGTACCGTTACAATTGATGTCTTTGTTTTTGCTGAAAGACAGACAAAACTGTCCGAGGGTTAAAATAAGAATTGCTTTTTTTTCTAAACTATGTGCCTTCATATAATTTTAAGTACAAAATTTTAGATTTTTATTCCGACAAAAAATTTTTTTGACACTGAAAGGGTTAAGAGGCCAGGCCTGAAGTCCTCTTATGTGTTTTCCCCTTTAGTTGAGATTTTCGCAATCAATCCTGTAATAAAGGGCAAAAGTATGTTTTTTTCACATAACATATTCAATGAAAATTTTTAATCACATAGGAAATACGTTCTTCTTAAAAAAATAGGAAATATATGTATATAGGAAACCATGATAACGTCACTTCCCTCTTATTGTACGATCTGTCTATATTAACTACATACTAACAACTACCCTCCCTTGCTTAACTACTTAGCTCAACAAGTTTATTATTTTCACGTGATTTCAGATGGACCCAAAGACCACCGGACGCCCTCAATGTTATACGAAACACTGGATTAATATTTGTTTTACCAGCCACCGGTAGGATATGATAACTGCGTAGCAACCTTGAGATAACCGTCTTAATTTCCATAATGGCAAATCGATTACCAATACAATAGCGTGGACCGGCACTGAAAGCCAAAAATGCATACGGATTACGTTTTTCCGAATTTTCTGGACTAAAACGTTCGGGATCGAATTTCTCCGGATCGGGATAGATGTCCGGTAAACGATGTGTTGCAAAGGGGCAAATGAAAATGTTGCTACCAGCTGGTAGAGTAAATTTCGACAATCGCACTTCTTCGCCCAATTTACGTGCTATCAGTGGTACACTGGGATAGAGGCGTAACGATTCCTTAATACACATTTCCAAATAACGCATTTCGCGTAAATCCTGCATATTGGGAGCACGATCATCACTTCCAAATATTCTCTCAATTTCATCCATACATCTTTCTTGACAATCGGGATTTTGTGCGAGGAGAAATATGGTGAAAGCCACCGCAGCACCCACAGAATCCTGTCCGGCCAACATAAATGTACACGCCTCATCGACAATATCATCTTCATTGAAGTCGTTTGGATTGCTATCGGATATTTCTATCATGTAATCGAGTAGACATTTTTTCATCGTAATTTCATCTTTCTGTTTCATTTCACGTCGTATTTGTATCATTTTTCGCGTAAATTCATCAAGACGTCGTTTTTGTTTCAACTCATCTGAGGCCAATTTCGACATTTGATAGATGCCATCGAACAGTAACCAGGGTTTGAGAAAACGTTGGGGTATTTGAATTTTACCTCTGAAAAGAAGGAAATTGAAAATTAGTCTTTACAAGTAAGATTTGTAGTATCGCTAAACGAAGTTAAATGTCCAGATCAGTTATGATTTAATTATTATTTATAGTCGTTTACACCAGAGAAAATTTGGCTTAGTATTAAAATGGTAAAGTTCAGTGGAATGATTTATTTATAAGATAAAAATACTGAAGGGTACAAAAGGGAGGAAATTCTTTGACAATGAGAAAAAGTTCTGCAAAGACATATGGTATTCGCTTTGGTAGTTCGTTTTGTGTTTAACAGACTCCATATATGCTCTGCATATACGTATTCGTTTCGGGATTCCGTTCTTTTCCTTCAACCGATCGAAGTGAGCAAGGAAATTCAACCTCTCGGACACCTTTATTCCGAGGTACTTAATTGTACGCGATAAAGGGAGGATGGCTGTGTGCTAACCAATCTTTCAGCAGCATCAGGATCGTCCTGTTGGTTTGCCACCTCCACTCCAACTCGGTTACTCCAGGACTGCATTATCTGCATAACTTGCTCACCACGACTTTCCATATCAAGACGAATATCCCCTTCAATTGTGATGAACAAGTAGTCCACATATGCCCTAAGCTAGCTCCCTAAACAAAGGATCATATACATTGAACCCTGTGGGTAAACCCTCTGCACATCCCCCAGACCAAAACACTGCTCCCACTACACAATACTTCCTACCTGGGCTATCCCATAAAAAGGAAGTGAAAGGCGCCTTTTAAAAACCAGTAATATGCCAAGGAAATAATTGGAATTTGACACGTTCAGCTACCTTGTGCATCCCTGGTACCTCTACCGTCAGTAAAACCAAACTGATACAAAGAAGTACCTTTGCTGTAATATTTCCTAAGCCGTGCCACCATAATCCTCTCCAACACTTTTTCAAGAACTGGAAGAAGTCTTGTGCCCCGATACGAGAGCCGATTACCCCTTACTCGATCAGACGATTTAAGCAATACAACAACTCGGATAA